AAAAATGTGCATTATTGATTCACTAGAGAGTTGCGCGCCGTTAGGCAATGACGCGACGACGCGCGCGTTTGCCACGCGTGACACTTGGGCGGCAATTGTAATCAGCAACATCACTTCAACTTTCCTCACCCTTACTCTCGGCACACGTTATTTAGCCGTGCCTGCACATACGTTTAGCGAACGCTTCGAAGGGCTCATGGCGCGATTTCTCGACGCCTGGCACGCGACCAATGTCGCCGCGATGTGACCTAATGACAAACTCCATTCAAAATACTATTTTACAACGATTTAGTGAATTATTTTCAGATGAGAGCAGTCCTGATCGACCGGTTCTGTTTCTCCAACACGGCGTGTTCTCGGATAGTTTCGCTTGGACGGGGAATCTGGCGAACGAGTCGGCTGGTGAGCCAGTTTTCTACAATTTTGTGTTCATAATGCTAGAATGGTGGCTGATCGGTGAAAAAAACCACGACGCTTGAAGATATTAATAAACAATAAACAATAAACATTAAACAATAAACAATAAACACAATGGTAAAATTTAGCGTTTGTCTTTGCCTGACGCCGGCTTTGATGTGTGGATGGCGAACTCACGGGGCACACCTTCATCACAGAAGCATATCGGTTACGGACCAGACGAGGCACGATTCTGGAATTTCACGTAAGCTTTATTGAATCCGCTTTTATTAACGTTCTTAGGCTCTAAAGGCGAGACAAACAGAAGTGAAACGAAAAAAAACAGCAAAATCAGGTTTCCAGGTACATCACATGAAATAATGAAAACTACGCTGAATGAACTTTTAAGGACTTAAAGGCAGTGAGCACGAAAATTGAATGTTGATGAATCTGAAAGTAGAGGTGCGAGTTCGTGCAATAGTGGGAAACGGTAAAAAAAAAGGTTCAATATTATCGAAATCGAGCCCTTACCTTCTTTGGAAACTTTGGACGAGTTTATGGTTTAGAAACGAATAATTGGCTTATGGGTACCTTTATAATCGATACGACACGAAAGACCTCAAGATATGCCCGTTTATTGCGAACTTCACTTCCGAAACGAAAATCGAAGCTAATTGCAAGAATATCGCAAAGGTTAATCACCATCCACGAAGACGGGGCATTATCGTAGGGCGGGGGGGAGGGTTCAATTTTGGGTTGAAGCTTATCTGCGTTGCAACAAAACGTCACACCCTTTTCCATTGCCGCCTAGCTGCTGCTTCCCACTGACGTATATACCTAGCTGATGGTCCCCCATTTCCCGTAGTCGCTGCCTCTAAGGGGCACCAAAACCTTACATCAGTTGACTATCAGAAACTACGATACAAAACGAGGAACGTGCAGAACGGTAGAGTCGGGTACCATTTCCTGATAAAGTTATGCAAAAACGTGATTTTATGATTATGCTGCACAATTATTGATTTTTAGATGGCAA